TAGGTTCGACTCCTGGCTGGCTCGGAGAACTTTTAGCTCATGCTGAATGGTGTAAATGAATGTATGGTGTACTGTGTGCAGGCATTTTCTGACACAAAGGAATAAAAGATATCTAGCTACTACAATAAAATGCCTCTTTAACATCTTATCTACACATGGCTGCGAATAAGTACTGAAAATAGCAGCATATTAGTTGGTTAGTGTTGTAAAAGGAACCACATAGCTCCTTCATTATATTTCACACCATTATACTGATTCAGTTTGTTAATAGGCACGTCAAAGGGGTATTCCATTGGTTTGATACTAGGGGATATAATGATACACACAACTCACAAGTATTTTGAAATCTCTACAATTCACAATACTGCATTCACAGTATGATTTTCTTACGATTCTTGTTAACAAAAGGAGATTGAAGTCGAATTATGACTGAAAAAGATTTCTTTATATCTCAGACAAAAATCTACAAAATATTTTTTCTCTTATATTTTCTTCACCAAATTAAATAACCCATTTTTATTTCTGAGGTGGGGTAGAAACGCAGCAAAACTATGCATATTCTCTTTTCTTTATAAAAGTGAAACTGTTGTCTTTGCACATTGTTACAGCTATTAATTAACGTTGAACAAGCAAATCAAATGTAGATAGCACCCTCTGCTGTTTAATAGGAGTTTCACGATTCATTTGAGACTGTTGATTGTAGAGACTTATTGCTTGTTCTCTCGATGTAGGGAGCATGTTGAGCTGGAAAATCTGCGAGGAGAACACATCCGGATGCTGGAAGATGCCAAGAAAGAAAAGGTACTATAATGCTCTTTCATACTCTGTTCATATACTCTATGAAACAACTTCTTCATGTGTCATGTTCACTGTTTTTGCTTCTTCCACCAGCTGCTGCTGGCTAATCAACTAGAGATGGAGAAGATGAAGGTGGAGCAAGAAAAGAAGAAGTACTACTTAGCACAAGAGGCACTCAAGGATAAGGTTTAGGAACATTTTAAAAATCCTTAACACCAAATTTGTCTGTATCTGTATTGTGTTTGATTTAAACAAAAAAAATTCTCCATTCAAACAATTCTTTTCTCTACTTCTTTAAATTCTTCCCTATCAGGAGCGGAAGGCCATGACCCACTCGGTGGTAGAGCCCCCAGCCTCCTCCACACCCTCCCTGTCCCGCTCCAGCTCCATCAGTGGGGCAGACAACGCTGGTCTGCACACCTCTATTCTTTCCCAGGATGAGTCTTTCGACCACTCGCTGAGTACCATGACCATGTCTGTGTCAATGAGCGGGACCAACCTGTACGAGGCTGCCAGGCTGTCTGGAGGCTCGAGCATCATAGAGAACCTCCAGTCTCAGCTCAAACTCAGAGAAGGAGAGATAGCACAGCTGCAGGTAGAAATTCAGAATACTTAAGACCATTAGTTTGATGGTACAAATCTGAAATGTTTTCTTATGATTTATGATTTTCCCAGCACTAAAGGGCTGCTATGTCCCTGTGGTTTGTTCTACCCCATTTATGTCCTCCTGCTGTTTCAGCTTGAGATCTCCAGTCTAGAGAGGAGTCGTTCTGTAATCTCAGAAGAACTGATCCGACTCACCAACCAAAACGATGAGATGGAGGAGAAGGTGAAAGAGATCCCCAAGTTGAAAATTCAACTCAAGGTAAGGGCTGTATTAGGAAATAGATGCTTTAATGTACATTGGAAAAGTTCTGTCAGAGCTTTCCTGTTGAAAGGTGCTGTATTTACAGACGTTCTTTTAATTTATGCTGCTGTGCATTTCAGGATCTGGAGCAGAGGCACAACACCATCCTTCAGATGTATGGAGAAAAGGCGGAAGAGGCAGAGGAGCTGAGGCTGGACCTTGAAGATGTGAAGAACATGTACAAAACCCAGATTGATGAACTGCTGCGGAACCAGAAATAAACAGTTTTTATTGCACCGTGTTACTTCTGGGACACTCACAAACAAATCAGTCGACCATCTTAGCCAGACATGCATTCACAGAAAAAGATAGGGCAGATAATCTAAGTTTAATCACTGTGTCAAAAGAAAATTCTTTTATCTTTATCTGTTATTTTATTTAATTAATTATGACATACTATATTTAAATGGGAATGTTGGGATTATGCATATCATACAATGTATTATTGCAGAATCAGTATGAAGGATAGCTACAGTTTGTGATTCGGGTGTCCAGTTGAAGTCTTTGGCATTTAGTACAGACTTTGCTCTAGACATAATTTCTCATAACTGAACCTTTCACGTAGTATAGACAGTTTATAACTGTAGGAGCTGGTGAAAGTCTTTTGCACTATACAAATTCATCCTTGTTTATTTCTTAATGCATTACAGAATTTAAGAAATATATAAACACATTGTACAGAGAAATTTACGTATTGTTCTTTTAACTCCTTTCAAAAACATGGTGTAGACCTGAGAGTAGTTTGTGATTGAAATCCTGAAGATTGGATTTTAAACCATATAAATATGTAAATGAATAAAACATTTATTTGAGTTGGTGAAAAATATGGTGATTCTTAATTTAAATGTTTATCATTAGAAGCCAGTAGTGTCATTACATTCACACAAAATACTACATTATGTTAATAATGCACAAACCTATTCAAATAAATCTCCATGTTCTGAACAATTTCATACAGTTGTCCAATCTATATGTTTATACAAGACTGCTCATAGAAAATGTGACTGATACAATTTTATTATATACCTGACAAACTATGTGAAACGTGCTACATAAATTATACAGGTTGTTCTTTCTTTCACTTTCAAAGATGGTGTATCTTGTTCAGCAGGTAGCATTTACTGTAAATGATTTAAAACTAGAGAGCGCCTACAGTATTTGGGATTAGTGTAATCTTTAGAGCTCTGTGGTACACCGCGCCCCCTGTGGCTGTCCCCACGTATTACAGGCCGGGATAAGGTTTCCGGTGTTATGGCGACCACCGGCAACATCATCGCTTCAGTCTGGAGGATAGCAGGCTCTGTATTCAGGTAAACTGCCTCCCACTCAAACTCACACCAACCCTGTATAGACGACCACTCAATGGGAGTTTTGTGTCCGTCGCAAGTCTTTACACCGTAGAAATATTAAATATTTGTCCCTGTCCAGTTCTTCTGCTGCCACCTCGGTACATCTTAAATTAACGTTAAGGGTCTTGGTCAAGAACTAACGCTACTCGTTAGCCGCCATATAAATATTTCAGACAAAAGTATTCTCATATCTTAACCCCTGTAAAAGGAAAGAGTAAGTAACGCGTTATTATCGCCACATATCCCCCGGATTGTTATCTCCCACGTCTATCAGGTCACCGAGTGCAGCCTAACGGGATCTTAAAGCGTTAAGTTAGTTAAGTTGACTAACTAATTGTCGCTAGCTCAAAGTTTATTTAGTTCATCATCAGCTCTAATGGAGCTCAGACACCACGTGCGACACAAACACGGGTTTAACATTAGGGACAAATTAAACCAGGGCTCGTTAAAAAACACACTTCTTCCTTACATACATAATTAAAGTGAACTTCATTCGGTAATTAGCTACAACTGATGCCACCCAAAGACAGCCTGGAGCCTGTCAGCGCCATGTTTTCACATGTATCCTCAACTATTTCATAGATGGAGCCGTTGTTTTAATGTCAGGCATCCCGTTACGCCCATAGCAAAGTGTTTCCCTCTGCTTTTTACCCCTCTTGAAGGAGCTCCTTCAGAACACGTGTCAGTAACTCTTAGCAAGCTATTGCTACTAAACCTGCTGTATTTACAGTTTAATAATATTTGTTACATTTCATATACAGCGACATCAGTCTACTCGGCTCCTTCACATGTGCAGAGATTTAGGAGCCATTGTTGTTGCACAGCACAGTGGTCACTGCAGTAACAGCAGTCACACTGATATGCTTTGATCATTGATTTTGGGAGTGAAGAATGTCAGTGGCTTTGGGCTGTGTAATCACATGCATACTTGAGACTTAACAAAATTGCAAAATTGCATTGGAAATATGACTGTCTGCGTTGTGTGTAAATACTGGTTTGGCCACTGAGAACTGTAAAGGTCACGTTATTACCAGCCGGCACTTTTCTATTTGCCCCCCCAGCCTCAGTTATGATTGCTCAGACAACAGTCGGAAAAAGGGTCAGTGATACTTCCTGCAACAGGACCTATCCTTATGTGGCGCTTAGATCCGCACACAGAGTCCCCACACACTTGCTTGTGCCCACATGCTTGTATACCGTGGTGTTAGGCTTTCAACCAAGATTACAGAGTGCAAGTCTGTCTCTCCACTTCTCTTTTTTCCTCAGGGTGCTGTGAAGAGAGCCGGCTGTCTCACATGTCTGTGCAATTCTGACTATGCTGCTCTTGGTAGCGCTGGGCATCATTTTTTCTTTCACTGTGGTCCCCACCGAGAAGGCTGAGAACACCAACTACAAACTGCCCGCACTGCTGCTCAACTACAGCGGGATCTCCCTGCCGCCAGAGCACGTACCCTACTTCCTCTACAATAACAAGAAGGTCGCCAAGCAATGTCGCCTGGACCCGCTCTGCCCTTTTAAAGTAAGATATGCACTCTGTCAACTTTTCACTGTTCAAATTTGTTTGCAGTGTGCAGTGATAGTTTTACTGCTCTTTGTTAATTGACTGCCAAGTGCTTTAAGGTTTAGACCCTGACTGAACATGAATCTGTTCACTGTGGGTTTTTATGATTGGTCAGAACATTATTTAATGGAGATTGCACTCAGTTGCAGTTTTGAATGATGACATTTCTGTACATTGATGTGTGCATAAATGGACACTGCTCTGCTGTTGCCAGTAAGAAGACACAAAAGACTGTCCTCGTCCTTCCTTGTGGTGTCACACTAATTATTAACATTTAGAGGATCTATTAGCAGAAATTGAATATAATATTCATAGGTAGTGTATTATTAGTGTATAATCAACTGAAAATAAGCATCGTGTTGTTTCGTTACCTTAGAATGAGA